GTGAGGGTTGGTGATAGGAAATCTGGAAATCTGACTGTAGATGTCCTCCAAAGGAAGAACCCTGACAGAAGGAGATGAACTTCCAAAGGGCCACAGGTAATTTGACGGGAAAAACTGTGCCTGTCAGATGAATTTAGAAGCAGGCTTTCTAGATCCAGCCAGCATTGTATATTTAATTTTCAGATTCTCTCTTCAGATCTTTGTTTACAATAACAGATGAAAAGAATTACTTTTACTTTCTGCCTCCATGTTCTTCTGTTTTCCCTAAGGCAACAACAGTAATAAAATGAGTTAAAGGAAATAGTGCTCATTTATTGCCAACTTTGTTTTTCCAAAGTATCACCAGATATGGCTGAGGAACACTTGCTAAGTTACACTCCATTTTTCTTTTTCTGCTTTTTCTTCTTTCTTTCCAAATTAAATCATTGCACACTGATGGATCTATAAACTTATGGAAATTCTAATCTTCCTATGATTTAGAGAGGGGCTGGTAAACTTTAAAGGAAGCATAAACTGAGATGGCATATGAAAATTTTGGCTTAAATTCAGTATTATCATAATAAACGAGGTGATAGTGAATTAAATTATAGCCATGTGATTCTACCTGCATGAATCATAAACTCAAAAATTAAGTGCCAGCCACACTTAAATGCAAAGAAGCATGCACAGAATATAGCTATATCATGTGTGGTGTAAAGAGTCTCTCTCCTTAACTTAAAACAGGTTTCGAACTAAAGTATTTTCAAATTAACACCAAGAAAACTATGAAGTATAAAAAAGGTAACCCCAGCTGAATCCAGGTAAGAGTTAATAACGAGGTAAAATTTAATGGCAATTAAATAGCCCAAGTAGATGTCTATCTCCTATAAATTCTAACATAGTCAGTGCTAATACAGACACAATTTTGCTGGTACACTTTAGCTGTTTAGGGAAATGACACGGAAGTGTACTCTCTGTAAGGGCCTGTTTGTTCATGTGACAGAGCATACATAGAAGCTTGCTGGTACCACGTAAAAGTATTTGATACTCTTTGTATCTGTTTGTATATCAACATTTATTTCTCACCAGAAACACCAGGGACAAGCCCATTTCATACAGCATGCAAAGTGTATATCAGTATCTGTCATCATGTAGCTCGTCCTGCGTGACTTTATTAACACACCCATTGAAATTTTAAAGATTTATACATCTCAAGGTCTGAAGCGACCATTTCAACAATTTAATTTGAACTGGGGTCTTTAAAAGTGGCTAAATAAATTAGATAGTCAAATTACACTTGAAAATAACATCCTAAAGTGCCCTTCAGAAACCCGTCTTTAAAGCTTTCAAGTTGCAGAAATCTATCGTACCCTTTAATAGGGATTTCTCTGATTAATTGTGTACCACATTAACTACTGCTACGGTGCCTTAGCCAAATCTAGTGCAGAGATGCATCAACTAAACTGCAGACAAAACTTATACAATAATAGTAAATTAATAGTTTAAGGACAAGAACCTATCCCTATCCTATCCCTACCTGCAAAACTAACTAGTGTTTCTGGCAACTTTTGTAAATCACCCAAGCTTTGCTTTGCTGGTTTATGACATCCCAGGAATGTCAGAGTGGAACTGTAGCCACTTTTTTTTTTTTTTTTTTTTCCAGTTACCTATTATTTAACCCATATGTAATGCAGAGGTTGCCATGTGTTTCTGTTGGGTCCCAGGTGCCTGTGAGATCTTAAAATCAAAATTTTGAGGCTCTTTAGTGAAGGATATGACTAGCAGCATGTCTGTACTATAAGTTCAGTATAAAAGCTGAGAAGTATTCTGTAGAGACTTTGTCTTCTTTGATCATTATCAAGGTCTAGTCAGGAATCGTGAGAAATATTCACGGGACTTACAGCAACCAGAGTAGATCAAATGAGAGACTGAAGTCTAGAATAGCAAGAAATCCTCACTGAATTGCTCATTTAGTTGAATTACATAAGCAAATATCTTATTTGTTATTTATAGTCTTTAATTTTTCATGAACAATGTCAATTTCATGCCTGTGATACTCTACACTGAGGAAATGGGAAACATTATATATTGTAATACTAAGTACTTACGTGGGACCGTAATTATGATTTTATTGGAAAAAAATAATATATTGTGGGGAAGTGTAGCAGTTAACGTCTATCAGAGAAGTCCTGCTGTAAGTATTGCGTAGCCAGGGGGAGTCTTTCAGCCTCTCTTCTCAGCTTACCCATATAAAAAAACGGATCCGAAGCATATTTTAAAGGTTTCTCTATCTATACAGTGAGCAAACTTAACTAATTAGCATATACTAAGCCCTTTAAGAAACAAAAATGAAAATGACTGCTTAAAGAACAAAGGGATATCAGGAGAGTGGGAACAGCCCAAGTGAGCCACTCTCCTCAGACACCGTGCGCCCTGTCCTGAGCCACCAACCTGCTGCGCCTAGATTGGCGTGACTGACAGCGTCAGTGTAAGGAATCCCTCTGAAGGAGTGAAAATAGCAGTAAATTATCTCTTATAATTATGAGGGGAAATCTCAGAGGTCATAGCTGAGGTTAGCTGTGGGGCAGAGCCGGGGTTATACTTGCACTACAGCTGCTGCAGTGCACCTGGCCTATTAGTGGGGACTTGCATTTTCAGCACTGACTTCCCCTGGAGATCAATAATTTTTAAAAGTTTTTTTTAAAAGACCTCAATGTAGAAGCATAGACTGTCATGTAGAGAGTTTTGAACCATCACAAATGAAAAGTATCTAATATCTTAGCAGTGGTACATGCTGAAAGCAATATTAAATCAAGCATGTTTTATATGCCACTTTATTTGTCCTCTATTTCTCTTGTTCTCTCTAATGAGAGTCTGTTGAGTTATTTTTATGGCTTTTACATTTCATGCTCCCAAGGTACTGACAATGGCTTTAAGGAATAAATGAGGGAGGAATAATAAGTTTCTTAAATGATCTGTAATTACAGTTAAAGCAGTTACATTAAATACTTTGTTTGTAATGCACTGGTTTATGGTAAGAATAGGTAGCTGCAAATATTTAAAGATGATGACCTGAACATACCAACATATATATTCCATCTTTCTAGTCGTCTCCAAAACTGGACCCATATTACATATGACCTATGCATTTATTTGTTGGTTTATTTCTCACCTACACTTGTAGAGAAGCCTAAAAATGAAAACAAACAAACAAACACCCCCAAGAGCCCATATATGTGAAAAATGTTTGTGAAAGCAAATTATCTGATTCTAGCAACACTGTGCTGTACTACCATCCCTCTCAGTTCGGGCTGCCCTGTGTCCTGAGCTCTGGGTTTCTGTTCTGCCATGCTCTTTTCCATCAGGTCATGCAAGTGCTGCTTCTGCTGCACAGGATCACAGCAGGCAGCGAATGCACCCGGGTTACACATGGCACCGTGGTGTGCTATTGGCTTCACCTTTTAGTCGTGATCAGCAGGTGTAGCTGCCCTAATATCATAGGAATCAGGGTGAATAAAATAGTTACAGCATAAACGGTCAGAGGACGGGGACCTGAACTTCCCAGCTCACTTAAGCATAATAGTGTCTCTATTTACAACGAATGGATTGGAATCAGCCTAGTGCAATGTATAAAACATACTCTTACTTATTCTTGTGAATTTCGAAAAATAATTATTAAAAACTGTGAGTATACTTTCACTCTAAGTGCTGATTCTCTTATTAATTTTCTATGTTTCAACCCCAGCTATAACAAATTCTACTTAATGTAATATCATAGTACTTAGTATGAGATCAAGATGCAAGGTTAGTTAATTTTCTCAGACATTTAACACTAACCTTATTTTTTTTAACCTTGAATATTAGATATTCTAGTTCTCACCTTGCAGTGTACTCATGAAAATTGTTTGTGGACATGAATATGGATTAATTTTAATGTATTATTTCTATGTAATGAGATAGCCCAAGTATCTGGCACTTTAGTTGTCCCTTCACATATATAGCTTAGCCCATCTTTCTTATTTTTCACCTAATCCACCTCTACTGTTCCCAAATGGCTTTTTATGAAGACAACTGTCCTCTATGGCCCAGGTAAAGACTGATGAAACTGGGAAATTATTCAAATGGAGATCTCTAGAGGCATATGGTTGGCATTATGAATATTTTACAGAACCATCTCTGAAAATCAGGCCAATAGCATATACACACGGGGCCAAGTTCCACTTTCAGTTATACCTTGGCAACAACAATGATTTCCCATTTGGCTAAGCTATGCAAGTATTTGTTTGTCTTATTGCATGCATGTATTTTTTACTTTTTTTTCCCTTCTTCAGCCCTGTCTTCTCATTTCCCATGTTGTTCTTATAAAGAAGACAGTTATTATTAGTGTGGTATGATTATTATTTGGAGGCTACTGGCTATGTCTCTCCTACCTCATAAATACAGGCAATAAGATGTACACAGGAAAGAGGGAAAATGTACAGAAAATTATGTCTAATAACAATGTCATTCCTGAGACACCAAAACTGATGCAGCATGTTAAACCACTTTGACCTCAATCTTGCTATGAAGTCCATGCAAGAAAGAGCTCAGGGAAACCCACTGTATTCAGTGAGATGTCAGCACTTCTTGGAACTCACTGTAGGACTGGGACCTGGAGCAGGGCAGAAAGAGGTCAAAATATTATGTACCCTGAGATCAGGAGACAAGTATACAAGGGTTAATGTTTCTCACTCCGATTCTTCTCCTCCCTTCTTGTCTTGTTGATTTTTTTTTTTTATTGTAGATAAATTTTATTTCATTTGCATGATTTCCATTTTTAAATTTAAACCCTTGGTCATGAAGACAAAGTTTTCATAATTTTTAATAAGAAGGCTGCGATAACTCAAGTCTGAAGTTATGATCAGATGTGTGACCTCACAGATGAGGAAAAATACTTTAAGAATTAACATAATAAGACATAATAAAATATTTGCAATGTTGTATAAAAGAAAAAAAAAAATGCTTAAAAGATTTGTACTTACCAGAATATCTTTTCCAGCCCACTTGCACTCATCCCTTCGGGAATGAGATACAGGCCAAACAATCTAAAGACAGAACAAAAATCATGTTATTTCATGCTTCAGTAATCACAAATTGCAGACCAAATGCTACAGAGTGTCTTTACCCAGTTTCTCTTTTCACCATTCTTTATTTCCTTTTCTTACATAAAATTTGATGACAGAAAAATGAAATGATAGGAGTAAAATAAGGATAATAGGAATCACAGTTAAAACAATCTTGAAATATAATCTGTATTGTGAATCCTGAATACTATCGATAAGAGGGTTGACTCTCCATTAAGTGAGTGTTCTTTCACTTTTTTAAATCTGATGTAATGGAATGGAGACTGAGAGGAAAAAATTGCAAATACTTTCTAAAAATAAATTAGATCTATGTGAAATGTGATCTCACATTAGGGTTACAGCATCAGAAATGAGGTGTTTGCCTAGTCAGTGTACCTACTAGCTCACTCAGTTATTTTCTAGATTTAGTTATTTAAATAATAAAAAAGAAGCCATGGTATTTGAAAAGTATCACACCATCAAAATAGAAATGTTTATGCTGTTCCTATAGAGCTACCTTAACACGAGTAAACCTAAACCTAGGTTTACTGTAGTGTTTGCTTAGCAGAAAATGGATCTCACCTCATAGAGAGAAAATCCAGAGACCCTCACAGTCAATTATTCATGTTTTTTTGAAAAGCTTTTAGGAATTACATATAGAATAAAACATGATCTTCCCATAAAATGCCAGGCTATTCATTTGGGAGCCTCAGATAATGCAATATGAATGGCCATAAGTCTGGATTACAGCCTTGGTGTTCAATCTAGTTTGTTAAAAGAAAGTAAAAGGCAAAGTACTCAAAAAGAAAAGAAAAAATACTGAACATGAATAGCAAAAGAGGTTGAAGGAGATGTTATATATGATATTTGAAAATACAGTTTGAAACCACAGCTTTAAATTCAAAATTTTCTTAATGAAATCAAGACAGCAATCAAACATCTTAAGTCTATAAAATAAGGCTGAAAATTTTATGAGCGTATTCTCTCTAAAGGATTCCTACTACTTCCTCTTTCTATTCTCAGCTTAAAATGTGCAGAGACATGTGAAAATTTAAATTTACTAGGTTGAAAAACATTAACCAAACTTCTGAGATCTCCCAAAAGGACCAGTTCAAGTTCAGTTCAAGTTTTGGGTAAAGATTTCTATACTACTCTAACCAGTATTTTCATCCAAAAAGTGAATGTCTAGATGTTCTTTTTCCTTACTATCACAGCACAACATTTTCCTCTAATTTGGTTTAAAAGTCAGCTAAATTGAACGGGTTTTAATAGACCGGAAAGTTTGGTTTTTGAGTTGTGCTCATTTGGAGACATATATTGCTACCAGCATTTAAACAGAAACCTCAGTTCTTTTTTACATGGTGGAAGCTACAACTGGTGAAGTTTGAGCTCCAGCGCAGCACTGGTTGCATTGTAATTTTGATTGAAGCTTCTTCTGTGACCCTCCTGTCTTTAATAACCAGACCTCCAAATTCTTTAAGCCTTTTGTCTATTCCTAAATCTAAAGTCTAAACTGTAAATCTATTCCTTCTGTTGCCAACATTCAGTTCCATGTTACCAACTGTAATTCTTTACATATATAGTAATATTTGTATATAATTTCAACTAGTGTTCTAAAGGTATCTGGATAGGTAAGTATGTAAGATACAATTCTCCCATTCTACAGAGCTGTTTTCTGCAATGGAAACACCTTCTTTCCTTTAATTATTCCAGATGTTTTGCGCATTAAGCTATCAATCCCTCAGAGTATTTAAATAAATAGCTGGTTTCCTTTATAGCTGCTCTAAAGAGAATAGAAAAGAAAATACCCAGTTTTCCTTTTATCCTTTTTCCTTAGAGAATACAAATGAATAGCCTGTCTTCCCTCTGAACAGAAAACACAAGGTATTTATTGCTATCATCTTAGGAAGCTAATAGTCAAACGGGCAAAAGGTCAGGAACACCAAGAAAAAAAATCTCTGGGTATTGAAGCAATATATCTCTCATAAAAGGGTATTCTCTGAATTTTAAAATGTGCCATCAAAATAGTTCATATAACATAAAACCTCCATCCCATTGTTTACCTTCTTAGAATTTTGTCTTATTAAAATAAATGAAAAATGAAAATCTTTATTTAGACTCCAACAAAAGAACAGCAGTGAACTGTTTGTCAGCTTTTAATTCATAGTCAACTTTTACTAGAAAATTATACTCTCCATCAAGAATGGCAAGAATTTATGGTTCTGTTCTTCCTTTCTTAATACTGAATCTGTTTTGATTTGAAAGCAGCAGAAGCAGAGTGCCTACAAGAGCTGGGTTAAAGGAAGGAAATCAACGCTCAGACTCCCAAACAGCTTCTTTTTATAAGCAAACAATACAGAGTAATAAGGCCTTTTTGTGTAAACCATCATAATAATTGTTTGGGGTTTTTTAGAAGTAAACACAGAAGTATGTCTCGTTTGGGAAATAGCTGGATTATTCATTTATTATTTACATTTTCATAGTCTGAAAAAAGTATTGGAGATTATACAGTCATGGGTTATAGGCTCATTATAAATTTCTCTTCGTAGAGTCAGCAAATGTTTTTGTTGTAACAGCATTCCTGACACCCAAACACTTTATACATAATTCATACAGTGCCCAACACAGTCTGAGTAACAACAATTCCGCAACATTAGAAGTTTATATTTACATTGTACAAAATATGAATGAAAGTACCTTTTGATATTCCTTGATGTTTACCAGGTTAAAAGAAAATATGTGATCCTTTGCTCCAACATACAGCCGACCTCGTTCTTCATCCAAGAGGAAAGTATGGTAACTGGAGCTATTAGCTAGTCCGTTGAAATTTATTATATTGTTGGATTCCAACATTTCTGTAAGATAAAGGTAATGCTTCTGTTGTTAATATGGTAAAATAAAATACAGACTTATATTTCGATTTGTACAAATTTCATTATAGGAATTTATACTTACGGAGTAGAAACCAGTGAAAGCATTATGTTACATACCTGGGCCCATGAATGAGTTTATTTAAAGTACTCAAACTCAAACTGCTTGTGAGATTCAGTTCTACACAAGCAAAGGTCAAAACATGAATGAAAACAATTAAAAGCCTGTATGAGGTTTTAGGTAGTAAAATTCCATCCATGTAACTTATCAACTGTTGGACAAAGTTCAATTTTGTTCAATCAATGAGATTTACAAGGATAAACCTGAGGATGACCAGCTGATAAAAAGCACATTTAAACACAAAATTTTGTAGCTACAGAATACAAAATTATTTCATACAGATATGTAAGCTATGAGAAAGGGGATAAGAATGAGTAGTTGATGAGAAAAAATAACATGTACCATCTACTTTTACAGGTTTTATTATCTTTCCAGCTTACTGACACAGGCAGCATGTTGTTCCCTTGCTTTGAATTATATATTTATCCATCGCAAGAATAAAACTAGAGAAGGTAGTTTTGCTTCTGTTTAAACTCAAGAATAATTTTCTAGTTCTCATACCCCTTACAGAGCTCTTGCACTTTCCAAGAACAGGATTTTTTAAAGTACGAGGATCTACAGAATCGTCTTAGCTATTCACAAACGTTAACAGACATACACATTTTCCCGAAACTACTTTAGAATAATTTTTCCATAAGATAATACAGACCATGTTAATATAAACTTTAATGAAAACACTCTTTATTGCTGTATATCTACATTCATACCAGGACTAAAGCCAAACCAACTCTGTCATTTTAAGGCATGTCTGCACGAGTAAGTGGTCAATAAGAAACTTTCCCTGTGATGACAAATCCTATGCAGTTCAAGCCCTAACCTTGTGATGTACGGAGGCAAACACACAGGTTTAGGAGCAGGAGCAGTTCCATCGGTGCCAGTGCAGCTCCTCACACAGCACCCATGAGGACAGATGAGAAAGGGAGCAAAAATATCAGGCTGATGGCTAGAGGGCATGGCCAGACCTTCAGGCATCTAAAGTTTGTGTTAGCTCTGCAATATGTGCAAGCCAAGGACACGTCACTCCTCTCAAAACAGCTGTCAAATGCCTCAATGTCTAGGATTTGCCTAAAAATGCAGCTACCTGCTATGACTTTCTGGTTTTCAGTAAGACCACTGCCATTGCCATCAATACTCCAATTGCAATTGAGTGTAACAAAGCATCCCCCGCTAAAAATCATGAAACTACTGTTAAAACATAAGCTTCTGCTTAATTTTCTTTTTGAACTAATTTTCCTTCTTTTTACCCATTTCTTTTACTTTAATGAGAACCAGGGATGTGTTAGGTGGGGCTTTTTTGGACCTACATAATAGTGGTACTTAATGGTTTTACAGAATTTCAGCCCCTGGTGCTTAGCAGTCCTGCAGGTGTGAAGTCTATTTTTCATATTCACTTATACCAGGTGGATTTTGAAGCAGACTGATACTCTATAATGACAAGAATTGGTAGACAACATATTCCAGGAAGATAAAGGTAACATTAGGAGTTGCATATCATTCAGGCTAGCTTTGCCCTAGGATTCTTTGCACTTATTTGCAAACACTCTCATTGCATCAAAAACCTAATTTTTATAGCAGTGTAGCAAAGTGTCAGAGCATGCACTATATTTTGTTCCTAATTCTACGTTTTTTTCTGGGTAAATATAACTATACATTTGTATTAGAGAATACTTTATAAAAACTTGTACTGCTCAAGACTTAAGTTCTTTTTTTTTTTTTTTTTTTTTTTTTTCACCCCAAGCAGTCTTGTCAAAATAATTCTTCTGGCTTCCTGCCAGGTTCTAGAATTTGACGGTATTGTCCTCCGGTTCACTTATTTGCATTTTGTTAGAGACTTTACTAATTCTCTTTACATTGTAATGACTGATTCAGATGTTGAATGTCGACTCTCTGAATAGTGAGTGATGCAGATGATTGATTGCTTAACTTGTCTTAGAACTCTCTTGGCTAGAAATGCTTTGCTGTCATCTCTATCTGATCATTTTTCTTATAACATAGCTGTCAAAAACCTTTGTAATTTTTTAATCTTTCTTGGTTTGAACTCGCATAGGTATGATTCTGCCCTTTGTGACTGAGGTGTAAAGACAGGTGTCTACTGAAGTCAATGTTACACAAATGTAAAATTGATATAAATAGAATTAAGACTCATTAGGCACACAGATACTTGGTTTAAAAGAAGCCAGATATGATTTTGCTAGTGCGGAGTTCTAAATATTCACATCTACAGAAGGTGACTGATGTTTTATTTTCTTTCTAATATTCATGAAAAATTCCAGATCGTACCATTGGAATCTAAGGTTTATTACGGACAAGAGAAAATTACACCATCATCTTCACTGTTCATATGTCTCCACAGTATAACTTAAAAGTACCAGGTGTAGCTGTGCATGGGAATACATATATCTTTTAATTTTCTGTGACTCTAGAGTATGCAACAATGTTAAATCAACACTGGCGTGTTGTTGTGTGAACATGTGATTTAAAGCCAAGCTAAAAGCTATATCCAAATGCCTTCTTTAATATTAGGACACTTCTCCAGTGTCTGTCATATTGTCCTGTTACTGACTTTTGCAGGAGATGAACAGGTTTCCAGGGCCTGTTGCCCAAAAGATTAGGCCTAAGCACATTCCAAGCAGTGTGTTTCAAATCATGTGAAATCAAGAATCAAGTTGAAAATACAGGTTGAGGAGAAAAATGTCATTTGGGTGCTGATGATTATCATTCACTACTAATTTAGTTAGGATTGAGTTACATCACAACTAAGAGGTGAAAACCTAAATAATCTCTGTAGTTCCTCAGCTTTTTATTCTAATTTACATATATTCCTCCCGTGATGAATATGGTTTCATATGATGTTCTGGGAAGGGCTGCTGAAGAGCAAAGCAATGGCATTTGTGTAATCAATACAAATTAAGTATTCCACTTCCTCAAATACATTAGTTTCAAAGTGTTTACCATACAGTGTCTTTCCAGTATCCAGCCAGTGACTATTGCTGAGAGAACGACAGAAATAGAAGTGACAGGGCACACTCCCAGAAGTGCACTGACATCCATCTATTCTGTTAAGTGTCCATCAGTCATGCTGGCGAGGTACATGGCTGATCAGTGCAAAAATAAACCAAGATTTACAACAAAGATTGCACTGCAATGACAAAAAGAAAATGATGAATGTCTTCAATAAGTCAATGAAATTGATACTGTCTACTATGCATACCCTAACTATTTTCCATTTTTTTGTTGTTGTTCTTATTAAAGGTTGGCATATCCATGATCTGTGAAGACAGGTAATGGTTGCCTGTACTTAAAGTCAAATTTTTTACTTCCTCTATCCTTTGTTCAGTTATTTTTATTGCAAAGATCGTAACATTGCTCCACTAGTTGTTGCAGTCAAGTACCATTCCTTCAGTAATTGCTCAGAGAGAATTTTCTTATTTCCTTTTGACACATCCTCAGCTGTAGGCATGCCTACATGGTTGTTTTGACCAGGAATTAATGAACCCTATAAAGCTAACCACTGCACATTATGACTGCAGTATTGTCTATAAAATGCTGTATGAAATAGATTTAGAGTGGGTGGTGATATTTTGAAGGTAATAAAGACTTCATTTATTTTGTTATTGCTGTTTGCTTCCCACATCTATTAAGAGTGTTGCAGGTGACCAAAACTAACACTTTGAAACGTCGCATATCTTAAAACCCCATCATATTATAATGAATTTTCACCTGTGATGATCACTGAAACCAGCTGGAGGTTGAGTTTATCAAGATTTGTGGGCCAGATTCTCCTACTAACCACTTTACTTCAACTACCTTTAATTCCCAGTCCTGATTTGCTTGTTCCATCTTAGTCTCTCTGCCAGTGTCCAAGCTTGAAATATTTGACCTTTTTCACTGTGCCTTTCTGTAGACTCTGCATGATCTTTCTTCTACTAACTGATGTTTCTGTTGATTCAGTCTGACGTGTCAGAACATTGACTTTGCCAGACCAAGTTGGCAAACTTACAGAAGAAAACCAGTCCCTAACTCTTGCCTTCCTTTTCATACATGGTTATTTAATTTGCTAATGGAATTGCAACTTAATGGTATGTATACACAAAGAGGGCAGATTCCTGCAGTGAAATCCATGGAGATACGCACACACAAGGAATGTAGATTTTGTTTATTTTTATGACACTTTTTTCATTAAAGAATAAGCCAGAAAACCACAGCTATAGCTAAGATGAATACAGTCAGGCAGATCCTGAGGTTTGCTTTACCCATGATTGGTATTCCACTGTAAACCTCGTTTTATGTCTGTGTTCCTTCAGCAGATTTTGTCAAGAGGAGAACATAACAAAAGAAAACCATCTTATTTTTTACTTATCTGCTACCAGTCAAACTAACTTTATAGTGAGAGGGAGTTTGTCTGTATAACAAAGTAGAAAATTTGTGAGATTTGGCCCGTGTTCCTGTTATAGACTTCACAATAACATGCCAGCCAAGATTATTTTTGTTGATAAGGATCAAAGGGGCCATATCGGTTTCTAGGAAAATCAGAGGAAAGGTTTCCCAGTTTCCTCACTAGGATTCAGATGTGGCCCTGTCCCATTACTGGTGACTCCGCAGAGTGACTGGATTATACAGGCAGTTCTGCTCGTCATAACACGCTTGTGAATCAAATGAGTGGGTTGCTGGTTGCACAAAATTCCTTTGCCAGCTACGATAAGATCTTGCTGTATATCTCCTAGCAGTAGATAAAAGATGAGTCAATGTGTATTATGGCATCAAACAGGGATTTTGCTGAATTGTGAGCAATTCCTCCCACAGCATCATGCTAGAACATTTCCTTCTTCTCTCGCCAGGCCTTTACTTTGGCTACGGAGTATCA